AGAGGGAGAGAAGAATGATAGGGAGGGACATAGGGAGAGAGAGAGTTAAGATTTTCAGGTACATATATTTGATTGATATTAAAGATTAAGGTAAACCAGAAGACCATGAAGTCTCAGAGAACAAAGAAGATGAATGTGATGAAGAAGAAAAAGCATAAGAGGAAGATAATGAGGAGAAGATGTGGAAAACACAAAGAAGAAGGCATGACAAAGAAAAACTTGAAGAATAAGAAGTAAGAGAACACATAGAGAATAAAGAAGAGAAGGAAGAAGAAATACCTGAAGAAGAAATTAAAAACGAAAGAAAATGTGAGAGAATAAGGAGAAATAAATGTGGAAGAAGATGAAAAAAATTAAAGAAAAGACGACAAAGAAGAAAAACCAAAAGGTAAATTAGAGAAAAATAAAAGAAGATGGCAAAACGAGTATAAACTCATGTTTGTCTGTTCAGTTGGTTTGTGAGTTTCGTACATTTATTTACTATTGCATTTTGGATTTTTAATCTTGGATCGTGTTTACTCTTTTGGGTTTGCTCTATTTTTCTTTATGTATGTCTTAAATAGTTGTTAAATTTTATTTGGTTTACAACATAATATTTTGTTTCATATTTTTAAATAATAGTTATTTTTTAGGTGCTCTTACGATTTGTTGTAGACTATTTGCTCTGTTTAAAAGTTTCTTACATATTATGTAATTTTTCCTGTAAAATTTATGTATTATTCTCACCAAATTAAATATTTACTAGTGAATCAACTTCTAACTATATATTTATCTATATGATTGCGAAGAGTGTTGAAAATCTCTTGATCAGAAACTTTATGATCATGATCAGAGAGCTTTTGACGATAAATTTTATACAATTAAAAAATGTATTCCATAATAATTTTAATACCACATAATCAATTCGTTAAGATTTTGAAACCCCGGGTGCGAGCAAACTATCTAGTAAGTAATGACGCCTAAAACTAAACCTACACCAGACGTTGCAAAACCTAGAATCATAAGGATCTGGTTTTCATGCGAAACCAATATTATAATGGGTAGACATCTGAATTTTGATGATAGTTTAATTTAAATAATTTGACAAAAAAATTAAGAGTATATGAATACATTTTTTTGGTAAAGGTCTATGAATACATTGTTACAATTCAGTAAAAATTTGAAATAAGAAAAGAAATTAAAGAAAATAAGCATAACATCAGAAAAATATGAGCAAAAGCGGATAAAATAATAATAAATATTATCATCTTTTTATATATATATTCTCATCTTTAATTAAGAATGATAATAATTCTATGTACTAATTAATAAGAATTGTAAGAAATAATATTGTATTTTTCTGGAATGACCCGGTTTTGACATTAGGGCTCAGCATACAATGTATTTTTATCAGCTTTTGCTCATAGTTACACCAAAATTACAAAATTTGGTAATAGTTCAATTTTCATATCTGACTTGATTTCTTGTTAGTAAGTAAACCAATATTTATTCAAGAAAAAATCACAAAAATTTATTTTCGAATTGGAACGTATGGAGTAAGTTTTGCCCTTTTATTTTCTGTTATCTTAACTTTACATTGGTGATATGATACTGTACATAGTTACACTAATGTATGTACATATCTAAAGGATCAAAATTGAACCAACGCAAGATACACAAGTATAGAAGGTTAAAAGGTCAGACTCTTTTGGTCACATATACCACTGCATTACCAAAATAAGTAAACGACTCTGTATTTGCGTGTCTTCAAAGACACAAACGTACTGTGTTCTGTTTAGAAAAGAAGAAGAAAACAAAAACAATTACTTTCTTTTTCAAATAAACCCAAGTTTTGAAATTAAAGAAAATAGATATATGAAATTCTCATTACCAAAGCAAGAGATAGAAAGAGAGAGCTCAAGGAAGAGAAAATCTTGTTGCTAATCTTAGAGACAGAAGATTAACAATGGCTACAAACCCTGATTTTCTTATGTGCAAAGAAGAAAGGAAGAATGAGAGCTTCTTCAAAGTTCTTCAGGGTGCAGATATCTATTCAGAAAACATGGTAACTCTGCTTTAAACCATTCCTGTTTCTTAAATTAGGCGACTTCTTGTTAGCTTGTCAGAACGTGTCTGGAAAGTTTGAATCTTTTTGGTTCATTGTTAAAATGGGTCTGAGAAAATTGAATCTTTCGGTTCAGCGGGTCTTAAAAAAGTTCAATCTTTTGGTTCATTGTAACAATGGTTATTAAAGATGTCGAATCTCTTAGTTCTGTGTTTCAAAAGTTGATTTCTTTTGTCCTCTGTCTTTCTCAAAAATGGCACTGGTTTACTCTCTTCAACAAACTTTCTTCATCTTTTATTTATGTGTTTGAGAAGTTGAATCTTTTTTATTTCTGTAACAATGGGTTTTAAATAAATTGAATCTGGTTCACTGTAACAATGGGTTCAAAATAAAAGTTGAATCTTTAGGTTTACTGTAAGTCTGTAACAATGGTTCTTAAAAAGTCGAATCATTTAATTCTTTGTTTCAAAAGTTGAATCTTTTTGTTCTGTCTTTTACGGATATCAAAATTGTCACTGATTCTCTCGCTTTATTAAACTTTCTTCATCTTTTAGTTATGTGTGTAAACAGTGGGTCTTCAAGAAATTGAATCTGGTTCACTGTAACAATGGGTTTAAAAAAAATTGAGTTTTTTTAGGTTTCACTGTAACAATGGTTCTTACAAAGTCGAATCATTTAGTTCTTTGTTTTAAAAGATGAATCTTTTTATCTCTGTCTTCTACGGATCTTAAAGTGTCGCTGATATTCTCTCTTTAACAAACTCTCTTCATCTATTTGCTCTGTGTTTGAGAAATTGAATCTTATTATTAGCTTTGTTTTAAAGATGGGAACTTAATTACATTACCTCTTCATCTTCCTTGTATAACCACAGAGAACAATTCCTTATGATTTTCATGAGAAGCGTCTCCGAACATGAGCTCTCTGGTAAGATGAAGATAAGAGCTGAATGGGGCAGCTCTTGGGATATAGGAATCTCCAAAAATCCGAGATTCTACTTCATGGAGAAATCGGGATGGGAGAAGTTTGTAAGGGAAAATTATCTTGAAGAAGATAATTTCCTTACATTTACCCATAAAGGCAACATGGGTTTCAATGTAAAGATCTTCAAGAAAGATGGCTTGGAGATCATCAGTCCTCCACAATCCATGGATCTTCAAGAAAGATGGCTTGGAGATCATCAGTCCTCCACAATCCATGGCTTTCTTTGCTTCTTCAAGTAAGATTTTGAATTTTATGGTTATGAATCAGTCAACGTGATGAAGACATTGATTCTTTGCTCTTGATTGTGAAACAGGTCAGGTTAAGAGAGAAGGAGGTGAGGTTGTGTCTCCTGATCTTGGCCCGACAGCAACTGAAACTAATAGAGAAGGAAAATTCAAGAGGAAGGTTAACTCTGGGAAGAAGAAAATTAAAGAATCAGAAAGTTCCCCGTTGATCAAGGAAGCGTTTAGTGCCCGGAGAGATTGTGCAGGCGCTTCTTCCTCTTCTAGTGCAGAATTTACCGTCTTCATCAAGGGATCACACCTCAAAATACTGGTAAGATAAGACAAAACAAAGAGTAAACACTAAACAGTCTTTCTTTGCGTTTTGATTTTGATTTTTATAAATGATATGTGAATTGAAAAAATTTGTTTGCCTTTTTTTTTTTTCAGAAGATCTCGGTATCTGCTTCAAGGAATCTTTTGCCGAAGGAGAGAACTACGTTTAAAATACATCACCCAGACATGAAGAAGTCATGGAATGTGGTTTACATTCCGAGGCATGAACAGGGTTTATCTGGATACTTCTCTAGTGGATGGAGAATTTTAGTGCAGGAGTATCCTGTCTTGGTTGGGGAAGCTTGCAAGTTTACGTTCCTTAAACCGACCGAGCTGCTTCTCATTGTCTCCAAACGCGCAAAGGAGACTCACTAATGACATGTGAGATTGTTTTGGAAAAGTTTTATGTAATGACTTAGCTACTGAGTATAAAGACTGATTAATGGTTTAAGTTTTATGTAATGACTTAGCCTGGTTGTGTAAGTTTCCAATGGATGGATCTTTGAGCTTAATGTGTTTGGACCATTATTAATATGTTGTGTTTGTTGTTTCCATGAGGCTTTAATCTGCCTTCTCTCTACTCTTAATTATATTCAGGAACCAAAATGTGTCGAATTTGTTAACCAGAGTAACCACTAACCAGACTCAGAACAATAGAGTTTCTCAGGAAAATTTGAGTCTCAAACGACCAAGTTTCAGTATTCATCACAAGTAGTACAGATCATTCAAAGCTGTCATGATAATGATGAGAGGTTATGGCCTAAAGCTTAAAAATGGTCTTTAGTTTAGCTTGCCATGATCAATCAAGTATCAGACTTTTCTGCATTATGTTCCAAATTAGACATTGCCTCAATTACAGAGCAGTAGGTGCTGTCATTAGGAGTAATCCCTTCACTTTTCATTTCCCGAAGCAATTCTTCTGCGAGTTTCCCGTCCTGGTTCTTACTCAAACCCTTCAACAGAGCATTGTAGGTGAGAAGAGTGGGATTAAACCCCAGACTCAACATCTCATCCCGAACCATGAAAGCATGCTTTGTATCCCCTTTCTTACTATACCCACTTATAAGAGTGTTGTAACTAATGTGGTCAGGTTTGATTCCTCTTCTCTTCATCTCTCCCATCAGCTCACGAGCTTCATCAAATTTTCCTTCTCCACAGAGCCCCCTCATCAAGCAATTGTATGTCACATCATCAGGATCGATTCTCATCTTATCCATCTCCGCAAGAAGAGAAAATGCACGGTCCATGTTGCCTGTAGAACAGTGACCATCCATCAAGGCATTTATCATCACAAGATCAGGCTTCATTCCTTTGCTTACAACTTTCTCGAACAACTTATCTGCTTCCTTCGTTTTCTTTCTTCTACATAGGACATAGATAAGCGATGTATAAGTAAACTGCGTAGGCTGAATCCCATCGGTCATCATTTCGTCATGCAAATCAAATGCTTTCTTTGCATCTCCATGTTGGCAATACCCATTTATGAGTATGTTGTAAGTGACAGCATCCAAGGCAATACTTCTCTCTCTAATCTCCTTTATCAATATCTCAGCGGCTTCGATCTTGTTCTCCATAAATAAACCATGAATCAACGTGTTGTATGTATAAAACGTTGGCGTGAAACCTTCTTTCACCATCTCATCCCTGCAAGCAAAAGCTGACTCCAAATCTCCTCTGTTACTACAACCACGGATCAAAATATTGTACGAGACAGAGTCCGGAACCAAACCCAACTCCTTCATCTCCCTCAGAACCTCACTGGCTCTTCCTTCATTACACATCCAAGAAAGAATCGGGTTGTATGTCTGCAAATCTGGTTTAAAGCCTTTTGATTTCATCTCATTGATAACCATCCGAGCACCTTCGACTCGTCCTCTCGACGAATACCCTTGAACCAGAGTGTTGTAAGTGACGATGTTAGGCTTAACTCCAAAACACTCCATGATTCCCAACATTCCCTTGGCCTTTTTCAACTTCCCTTCCTTGCACAACACGTTGATCATAATGTTGTAAGTGTATAGATTCGACTTAATATCCATCCTATACATATCAGCGTAGAAGACCCAAGCGCTCTCTGTTCGGTTTAGCCTCGATAACGAACTCAGAATGCAATTACATGTCTCAGTTTTTGGAACAAAACCTTTCTCCTTCATCAAGTAAAAGCACTCTATACTTTCTTCAACCATATTCAATTGACAGCAACACCTGACCAAGAAATCGAAAAGAATGGTGCTTTTAGTCTCTAATTTATCACGAGCAAGCACCAATTCATCGAAAACGTCTCTAACACTAAAACTGCTCTTACTTCTACTAACAACGACTTCATTAAGTAGCTGAAGAGCTGGTTTGGGAGAAGATAGCTTAGAGACAACAGCAATGGCTAGGCACTGTGTTGAGAAGTCCAGGAAACGAAGATCTATGTGTTTGACGAAACTGAGTGCTAAATCTGGAGTCTTGACGAGGTTTAGCAGAGTTGTTGATACAACGGAAGGTGTGATCTTGTCCGAAAGCTGTTCGACGAAATGCCACTGAGAAGATCGTACTGATTCAAGCAAAATATCAGAACTTATCGGTGGTTGTGAGGACTCCTCGGTGGTGGATTTTAGGGGTAAAGAAGAAAGACGTGCGGCGATTCGAGAATTTCCGGCGCCGGAAAGAATTGAGATTCGGTGGCGTAAACGACAGGGGCAAGTGAACTGTCTCATGGCTAGGATTAGTTACACAGAGCACAACAAAGTTGGATATGTCGATAGAAAGGTTTTGCTTGTCTGGAGCAAATTGAAGAAGAAGGAGGGGTGTTATTGGAGAGTTGATTTATAAAGATTTTTAGAGTTTAAGATTCTATAGTTATTGGTTGGTGGATTTTTACATTCTTAATAGATTCCTAATCAGTTGTTATTGATATGATGATTTTTATAATCTAATCAAAATTTATTATTATTTAAAAAGTCTGCTTTTAAATGATTCTATGATTCTGTTATAATCTAGTGTTATTAGCATAATGATTCTTTATAATTTAATTCATAAATCATGATTCTCAAAATACTATCTATATCCTTTGATTTTTAAAATCTTTCATATTAAAAAATTCTTAATAGATTTTTTAAATTCATAGAACTCTCTCTAAATTTTACAAATCCAACAAAACTCTTAAAAATTTGACAAATTTCATAATTTTTAAAATCAACTAAAATCTTCATAAATCTAACTCACAATAACCCCGGGAAGAAGAATGGATTTGAAGAGTGACGACGATACGATCCCTTGGTCGAATTTGCGGTATATCGTATAACTACGGTTTATAATTGGAAGTGGAATTTCGGTTAAGTTTGGTTCAATCGGATTTCGATTTCGACTTCGGTTACTACAACTGATTTGACTTTGTTGTGGATATTTTCAATGAGTACAAAGTATTACGATCTCTTGGTCGAATTTGGCAATTTTTCGGTATATGCCGTATATGTACGTATAGCTATGGTTAAAATTGTAATTGTTTATTTCGGTTTATTTTGGTTTAATCGGATTTCGATTGCTTACATTGGTTAATTCGGATTTAAAGGGTTTAGTTTGGTTAATTTGGATTTCAATTTCGGTTACTACAATTAATTTGTAGGTTGAATGAAATAAACAAAATGTGTAGGTTGAATGAAGACAAAAACAAATATAACTTCATTTTATAAAATTTATGGCAAAGAATCAGAATATTATAACTACATTTATAAAAACAAGATATTACAAAACAACCAAGAACCAATGTTACAAGTTACAACAACAACAAGAGCTACAAAACCCAAAATTATGGGCACAAACACGAAGTATCAAGTAGAAAAAAAAATGCTGAAACCAGAGAGAATCCGAGAAACCATTATAGTCCTTATTAAAGTCCAAAAAGCTTTGAATCAAACAATCAATCTTCTTCATTCTCTTCTCTCTCTCTAGGCACAGCACCAAATTCTTTGACTAGAATCTCAGCCACCAATGGAACCAAATCCGTAACACGAACACCTTTCTTATAAATCTCTCCCAAATGTGAGTCGCTTCCTATTCGTCCTCCGACGTACACGTCAGCACCCTCCACAGGCTTCCCGTTCTCGCCACGTGTTAAGCATCCCATGAATCCGATATCCGCCACTTGGACTTGACCGCATGTGTTGGGACATCCTGTCCAATGCATCCTCACCGGTTTTGTCACAGCTACAAGTCTCTCCACTTCTTCTGTTACCTTTAAAGCTCTTTGTTTGGTCTCGATTATCGCTTGCCCGCAAAACTGGTTACCGGTACAAGCAACTAAACCCTTCATCAAGATCGATGGTTCAGGAGAGAACCGGTTCTTGAGAAACGGTTCTTGAAGCAAAGCTTCGGTTTTCGAGGTTTCCACATTTGGAATGATGATGTTTTGCTCTACAGTGAGTCTCAGCTCGCCTGAGCCGTAAGTGTCAGCTAACCGAGCAAGCTCGTCCATGTCATCGGCTTGTAGCCTACCAACAGGGACATGAAGCCCCACGAAGCTAAGACCTTCTTGTTTCTGAGGGTGGACACCGAAATAGTCTCTCCTCTCCCATTGTTTATTCACAAGATCCTCTGAAGATCCTCTCTCGAGTTTCCCGTTTGGCATTCTCTTCTCAACTTCAGCTCTAAATCCTTCAACACCCTTTACAATTTTGGCAGAGAGAAAAAATCAACTATCAAGAACTTCAATACAAACAAATACGCAATCTAAGTGTTACTTACAAGTTCGTCGATGAGCCACATCATTCTTGTTTTCTGTCTGTTTCCTCTAGTTCCAAGATCTCTGTACGCCTCAAGAACAGCTTTGCAGAGTGGAAGAACATCATCAGCCGGGACCCAAGCATCGAGAGGAATAGCTTCTTCGCATCTTTTGGGACTGAAGAATCCTCCCACAAGCAAATTAAATCCAAACCGGCCATCTTTAGTAGCAGGCATGTAAGCTAAATCATTGATATGTGGATGCTCATAGAGATCATGAGTCCCAATCACACAAACATTCCACTTTCTCGGCCTGCAACAAAGAAACCCTCTTTAGCATATTCATTCAACACAAACTCAATAATTAACATCAACAACGGAGATAACAAAAGCTCACAAGTTAGTGAAATCGGGATTTCCACGGGAATTAGCAGTGATAAACTGCGAGAGAAGGTTTGTGTAAGGCCTTGTATCGACGATCTCTTCTGGGTCAATCCCAGCTAGAGGATTCCCAACAGGGTTCCTCACATTATCCATTCCACTCTGGAGACTAGTTAACCCTACAGAAGCTAAGCCTTTCAAGATCTCAGGCACATCAGGCAACACAACACCACGGATCTGCCAGTTCTGTCTTGTTGTCACATCTGCACATCCATCTTCACCATACTTCCTAATCACACTCGCTAGGTAACGAGTCTGTGCACTTGTGGTCACGCCATTTGGTAACTTCAACCTCATCATAAACTTTCCATCTGTAAACAACAACGAGCCAAGATGAAAACATTTAGTTTTAATCAATATCAAGCATAGATTTCACAATTTTAATCACTAACTAGAACACAAAATTTAAAAAATTTCCCATTTACATCACAAAAATCAAAAGAGGATCAGAGAAGAAGATGAATCAAGAGATTAGAGGCTTTAGATTTTCACTATTTGGTAACTTCAACCTCATCATAAACTTACCATTTGCAAACAACAGAGAGCCAAGAAGAAACCTTTTTAATTCTAATCAAGAGAAAGCATAGATTTCATAATTTTAGTCACTAACTAGGACACAAAATCTTTAATCTCAATCAAAAGATGAAACCTTTAGTCACTCACCCTAAGTTCATCACCAAAAGAAATCGAAAGAGGGATTTAGAGGAAGAAAAGTCTACATACAGTGATGCTTCCTGCGATGGAACAAACCAAGCCACTTGAGTCTAACATCGATATCTTCTTTGGAAGACTTTTCGCTATCGATCTCTTCCATAGATTTCTTCGCGAGCTCTTCGATCCCATTCTCCATGAACAGCTTCATCGGCTCTCTCTCGATCTTAACCTTTTCCTGTGGATTGATCCCTTTTCGAAACTTCTCCTTGAGAATGAAGAACCCATCTCTTAATTCGACTCTAGGCTCGAGCCGATCCGCGTCTAGGGCGGGTGAAGCGGTGGATTCCGCCGGAGGAGCGGTCTGTGCGGCGACGATGACGGATCTTCTGGGTTTTGAAGGGAGAGGAGGAGCTGTGAAACGGAGAGAGAGAGAAGTAGAAGAAGAAGAAGCCATGGCGGAAGAAGGAAGTGGAAGAATGTTGGAGACGTGCGGCCATTTTTGTAGAGGGAAGAGATGAGCTCTTGAGCAATCCAAAGGGTCAAGTCTCTTCTGATCATCTGTTGTGAGGAGGAAACAGACACTTCCCGATTTCTATTTGTTTTTTTTTTTTGTTTTTGGTTTTAAAATTACACTGAAATCAATTCTTTAAAAAATTTGAATGATTTTTTTCTTTCATTTTCTCCATTGTTTTTTCTTGATAGACAGCTTTTGACTTCGAACCAAAATAAGCGGTATAATTTGTTTCATAAAACTATAATATTTTTTTTTTCTTACGTCAAATGAAAAACCTTGCGGACATTACTGTAGACACAAATATTTATAGTTCAGTGGACAACACAACACTGTAATATATTTAAATATTCGAGTATTTTAGTTAAACTATAAAATATTCACACTTCAACGTCTCTGAGATATTTATGGTAATTAATATTAATCATTGCTAATTACGATTAACGATTAGAGAAGACTCAAGTTTGATGTGCCTTCATTAGGAATTTTATAAAGCAACGTCTTCATTAAGCTAATAAAACAAGTTGTGTAGCATCTTAGTCGTAGGAAATTATGAAGCCTAAACTATGAATGGCCTAACTTTATATGAATAAAAATTATAAAATTATTATATATTATTGATTGTTTGACATAGGCGTTCTTTAGCGTTATGCTAGAGACATGAACAAAAAATTATCTCAACGTGTTTTATTTTTTGTCGACATCACTAGGTCTGGGCAAAATGTTAGATTTGCTTCTATCCATTATTCATCTCAATTTAATAAAAAAGATTCAGATATCCATAATTTTATAAAGTAAAAAAATACTAAAATTTAATATCCGTTAAAATTAGAATAAATCATAAATACTAAAAAAAATAAAACGGATATCCGCTCTGCTCCGGTATAAGTATATATATATATAATAATTTATATAAACTATATAATTATATATATATATAATTTTGTGAATTTTTATTTAGAAATTTGATTATTATAAATATTAAAACTTAATAAGTTTAAAAAAATATTTTTTTAAAGAAAATATTGTTTTTGGCTAAAGTTTGAAATTTTTGTATTTTTATTTTAAATATATTATTATTTAAATATTTTTATGGAGCGGATCAGATATTTGACAAATATTCGGATTTTGGCGGATATCTGAAAAGCATATATCCATATAATTATGGAGCAGACGGATTGGAAAATGATAATCCAGACATAATGGAACGGATTACGAATATCCCCAAAATTCAGGATATCCGCTCTGCGCCCACCCCTAATCACAACGTTATATTAGAGGTGGCATGGAGTGGATATTCTATTTTTTGAATGGTATTCATGATTTGTTCTATTTTTATTGGATTAACAATTTCTAATTAGTATTTCATTCGCAACTGATTGAATATTTAGC